AAAAAAAAAAAAAAAAAAAAAAAAAAAGAAAAAAAGGCAACGGAAAATAAACTTTTATTTTTCATCTTCTTTTTTTTTTTCATTAAGTAGTTACACGACTTATGGCGAGGTGGATGATTGGGAGTGGACGAGGGGAACCTTCACTGCTATGTTTATTCTTCCTTAAAAGTTCAATATTTGTTTTTCTTTTTTTGATTTTGAATCTTTTTATTATCAGTTTCAATAAGGGATGTGGAAAATGAGGCAGCATTATATGTGCTATTGTCTCTTTGCGCCTTTCTTGTCTCGTTTTTTTTTATTTCTGCTGATCAAATTGTCAAATTATTTTTGACATCTGAAAATGGGATGGAGGGTGGATGACGGGTGCAAGAAGAAAGGTGATATTTGTTAACGCTAATTTTATTTTTGGGAAAGCACTGAGTGTTAGAGGTGCGACAAATTTTTCTTCTCCAATGATTTTTTTTTCACCGTTAACAAATTGGTATTCTTTGGGTAAATTTTTTGTCATTTTTTTTTTGTAGGTGTCGGTAACTCCACCAAGAAGAACTTAAATAAACGGATAAACAGTAAAGGGCAAGACTGAAAAAAAAAAATAAAAAGAAACTTGAATTGGTTTGAATCACTGGGTGAAAAACGCACAGAGAAGTTGTTAAAAGGCAGTCTACCGTTTCTGACTATTCAGAAGACTGGCGTTTTATGCAAAAGATTTTTTAAGGAAGCAGTTTATGCATATATGTATTTCAAAAATGGACAATTTTTATGGAAATTTCTTGAAGTTTTTGTTGGACGGATGGCGTAAAAAAAATTGAAATTTGAGAGATAGGGCCAAAAGTACATATGAGATTTTGTCTTCACCTTACCGCCATTTCCTCATTCTCTTTTTCCAGATATTCTTTCATCTACCAAAAAAAGTTTTAAATCCCAGCGCCATATGCTAATAGCACTTATGATTCTTTAATTGTTTTTGATAACCAACTGAACTACTTGCCAATAATTGGCTGTTAATTCGCTGGCAAATTGCTGTAAATCGGTGAACTAACTGCCGGATTGGCGCTCCCTTCGTTCTCGTTTTTTTTTTGTGTGTATTGATTTGTTATCCCAGAACTGTCCTCAGACGAAACGCCAAAAGAAGGATTTATGAGCGAAAAGTTCTTTGCCTACGCACTTACCCTTCTGTAACCGTCAATTTGCCCTAAAAGTTCTGTTCAGTTGGCATCGGTACTTTTTGTGCCCCAAACATAATATGTTGGTTGATATTATTTGTATATGTCAACAAAACAAATAGGAAACACCACCACCAGTAACAATAACGGTTCAATAGAATCCAAAATTAGCAACAGATAATGGGAAACCATAGGAGAAAAAAAAAAGACAGAAGCGATGAGGCCGATGAGGCAAACAGTGAAACAAAGTAATATCATCAAAAAGAAAAAATTTGAGAAACGGGGAGGAGAGAAGGAAGAGGTGGAAGAAAAATAAAAGGGGAAAATCACATGTTTGCCATACAGTAATGTTGTCATATTTGCGTTCAAGTCGTTTAGCTTTTAAAATAAAAGCTAAAAATAAGAATGCAAAATTTAGCAAGGAAGAAAGATCATATTTAAAAATTTGATATATTTTTTGTGATTTCAAAGAGAGAAAAAAAAGGCAGAAAAACAGAATGAAACGTTTGATGGATATATACATATCGGATTGTTTATGTGCTAAAATAAATCTGCATGAAAAGGCGTAACTGCAGCCTTATTTGATAGGTTCGTTTTTTTTCTCTTTTTGACAACAATTTTTTTAACTTTCAATTTTTTCCTTCTTCTCTGTCTCCTCCACCCACCTCTTCTTCTTTCTCATCCGCCTTCTTCACTTTTTATTATCTGTCTTCTTCGATTTTTTTTTATTAAAGCAATAATATTTAGAAAAAAAAAGAGATAAAAAAAACTTATTGGCATTTATCTATGATAAAGTTTATAGGGAATGTCGATAGGCTTTTTTTTAGGTGCCATATTTTTCTTAAAACTACGTTCTCGATATGTCATGTCAGTAAACTTTTGTTGGCTAAGTAGAAGAAAAATCTTATAGTCAGTAAGATATTGAGACTTTGATAGAGATGATCAGATGTTTTCATAAGCTATTTTTACATTAACACATTTTTTTTTTTAATTTTTGAGCACGTCAATTTGGATAAATAACTGAAGAAAAAAATTGTCAGCAAATGTTATCAATGTCCACCAACCTTAACATATATGCCCAATGAACACCGTCAAGAAGGCAAATAAAAATATAGCACATTCGGAGAATATAGAAAAGTTTTCGGCGACCACAGTTTTCTGTATAGTCAACATCTGGATCGTCAACCTTTTCATCAACATCCACCGGATCTTCGGTAGCGCTGTATGACTGCTTTGTCGATGCGGATTTCAAAAGATCAGTTTCTTCAGCAGCATCATCGTTGTTCGTCTAAATCACATCATGATGGAACAGTAGTATACGGAATAATAGCAACGATTAGGAGGATTCCAAACAAATTCATGGATCTGTTTTGAAATGCTAAATTTCAGGCTAAGTTGTAGTGTAATGGAGGAGAAAAACAAATGAATTTTTACGCTGTTTTTTTTCTTTTTGTTTATTAAGCTTTCTCTTCTACTCGTTGCATTGGATGCATAAATTGGTAGGTTTCATCATGCAAATAACTAACAAAGTATGTATT